TTTTTTTTTTTTTTTTTGAGATGGGAGTCTCCCTCTGTGGTTCATGCTGATCTGGAACTCGAAGTGATCCTCCTGCCTCACCTTCCATGGGATTACAGATGTACATCACTGTGCTGGTTTACACATCGAATTCTAATCATTTCAACTTTCCCTTCCTCTCCCCACCTGTCCAGGTTATTTGGATGAAAAGTACATTTACAGGATGGAGAGGCTCCAAGAAGAAGGCCTGTGGATTGAACTAAGGCAATTAACCTGCTTGTCCTGATTTATGGAGAGATTCAAGACTATCCTACAACATAGGGCAGAGTTCTCCATCATTTCACTCACCCATATATTCCTTTCTTCTGTCAAATATTTACTGAGGACCTTTGGGATACTTCTAAGTGGGTGGGTGTGGATGAGGGGGAGCAAATATCAGGAGTGACCTGGGCTCTGCCCTTCTAGAATTTACGGTCGAGGAAACAGCAAACCGACATACTCATATGTGTTTACCAGTTATGGTAAAACTGAAGGAAAAGTACAAGTGCACACCTGTAATCCCAGCTACCTGGGAGGCTGAGACAGGAGGGTCTCAAATTCAAGGCAAGCCAGATTGGACGGAGGGGAAGAATTAGAAACAGCTAAATTAGATAAAAATTTCTGACAGGCAGTCGGCAAGGGATAGGACCTCCAGGGGGTGAGTGCAGGGGATAAGACATCAAAATTGTGGCTGGAGGCAAATTTGAAGAGGGCCGGGCCTCAAGGTGGAGATGCCACAGCCAGGCTGTGACCCTCCCTAAAAATAAACAGCAGCCTGAGATTGTACTGTAATTAGTATCTCCTGGTTCTGTGGGCTCAGCGAGGCATCTGGTGTGGGAAGCGGCTGAAGCTGGAGATGGATCGCCTGTGCAGAGTTGGAGCAAGGTGGGTCCTGAGAACAAGGAGCCCGGAGGCGAGCCACGTGAACAGACTGCTCCAGTCCAGAGAGCACCAGGCACTGCAGCCATCAAGCGCTAACAGGTTGCTAGGCAGAGAGGGGTGTCACGTGACACCAACCTTCTCAATGTACAAATAAATGCGCGGAGTGGTTGAGCAGTTCCTTTTCTCTCATTTGGAGAGAGGGATCCATCTGAGCTCAGCTTTTTGTATTGTGACTCTTTATTTCTCCATCCTCCCACCGTGTCCCGTTCCCCACCCCCCAACTTTGAGAGCTGCGCTAGATGCGGCAATCAGGTGCATGGGTGGGTGATCAGATACCCTGACCATACTCCTGTCCTTTCCAGGCATGCCCTTGGTTTTTTTCTTCTTTCTTTTCTTTTTCCTTTTTTTTTAATGTGTGGCGGACTCACTATGTAGTTCAGGCTGGTCTCAAACTTAGGGAAATCTTGCAATCCTCAGGAGCATTCAGCTTCATGAGTGCTGGGATTGCACCAACCCCGTTGCCTTTCTTGTTATTTTAGAAGTTATAGACAAGCTCAGGTTAATGATGCTTGCATATACCCTTGCTATGTTCTTTGTTTCTCTGTTGGATCAATATTAGCTAAGCAACTATTAATCCTACAAATAGTTTGACCCGTAGATACCCAAGTTGCACATTGTGATTCTGCTGTATAAAATAGCCTTGGACAAAGCCTCAGTGGCAAAACCCTTCCTGTCTTTCAAGAGCTTTCTCTCAATAAACCTTTCCTGCTCTTAACGTCCTTTGTCTTGGAGTCCATTCTTTGGTACTGGCACATCCGAGTAACAGAAGGAGGGGGAAGGGACAGGGAGATGTTGAAGATTGTGGAGAAGGACATTCCTTAGTTACCATTTTGTGTATTGCCTGAGGCCTGACCAAGCCATGATTACTGGGTTCTGGAGGAAGTCTAGCATAAACATTGTAAGCCCTGGGATCAATACTAGATGCTTTGCTGAGATATGGGCGAAGGAAGATAACATGATGGCTTACTGGTCAGGTCGCATTCCTATGATAATTGAGTTGTATTGCCCTTGCTAAAACAGTTGATATCCTCCAAATCCTCTGCTGCCTCCTTGGTGGATTCTGAATAAAAGGTTACTGAAGATGGTAACAAGGGCTGAGTCCTAGAGGCTGCTAGAACCTGATCACAAGATTTTGGCTCTCTTGGTTTGATTTATTCTTACTTTTCTTATACATCTGTGAGCACCTAGTTCAGGTATCTGTTCACCCTGGACAGAGTTGGATGAGAAGTCCGACAGAAGATCATCTCCAAATTCCAGTAATTTTGTGGCTAGACAGTAATTTGTATAGGGTGGGTGGGTGAATTAACTTGGTATGCACACTTGAAATGCCTTTGAGACATTTCAGGGGATCAGTCAAGTGGGCAGTTGGAAATACAGGCTTGAGCCAGGGGAGATTTTAGGTGAGAGATATACAGTCAGCGCTTCATATTCTTGGGTTCTGCATATGTGAATTCAGCCAACTGTAGACTGAAAATATTTGGGAAAAATTTGTGTGTGTATTGAACATGGACAGACTTTTTTCTTGTTGTTATTTCCTTAACAGGCCAGTGTAGGAATGTTTAACATAGCATTTACTTTGTATTTGGTATCATAATCTAGAAATGCATGAATGTATGTGGGAGGATTTCTAGAGGTTAGATGCAAATAGTGTGTCATTTTATACCAGAGATGGAAGGTTTTAGTGTCCTGGAGGGAAGGGTCCTGGAACCAACACGCCTGCTAATCCCGAGGGATAGTTGTGGTCTTGGAGTTATTAGTACATGGATATATTTTTTTTTTCAATGGATGTATTTAAAGCCATGATTCTTGAGATTTTCCAGAGAGGTTTAGAAAGAGCCTTAGGCCAAGGACAGGAACCCCAGCATTTAGAAGCTCAAAGATAGGAAGGCGCCTGCCAAGGGACCTCATAAAAGGTGGCGTCGAGGTGAGGTCACAGAGCAGGGTGGTTTCCCAGAATCAGTGGGGAGTGAGTGGTAAACTACTGCAGGAGGGAAAGCATGCTGTGGAAAACACTGGGAAGCAAGATAGGAACTGAAAGGGATGCAGGCCTATGAACTTGCTCTACTCTGGGAGAAAAGTCAGATTCCTCCGTAAGTCTGACAAAGTGAGTTGTATACCCTTTTGTCACAAATACACAATGTAAAGCATAAAACACACACACACACAAATTGTAAATAAACTATTTTTACTTTTACTATTATCTTAGAGTGGTGGTACCCTACAGTACAAGTGGCGTACAGGGGATTGCAGGGAGCGAGCTGACAAGAAGGGATGAGCTGGAGGAGGGGGTAGGTGGGAGACAGTGGAGCTGAAGGGTCATCACCTTTCAGAGACGGAGGGCAAGAGACCACGCCTCAGGCTGATGACACAGGGTTTTTGATGGGTTCAGTTCTTTCCATTCACTTGAAAAAACGATGTCTGAGTAGTGCCTCTTTTTTTCTTAGGTGTCTCTTGCACTGTTTGACATTCTAAACGGCTGTTGCAACTTTTGTGTACTGTCCCACGTTGGGGTCCTGTGCCTCAAAAACTATCGGTGCCTCTTCAAGTAAGGAGGATCCTCTTGTCTTTTCCTGTGTTGTGAATCTCCTTGGTTCTTCCTCTTGGCTCTTTGTCTACCATCTTTTCACCTCGGTTTAGTCTCTCCAGGATTTTCACTTTTGTTTCCATGGTTATTGCTTTGTGCTTGCTAGCTGTCCCTGCCGCATCACCACTGCTCTTCCTCTTGATCCCGGACATCCTGGGCTCTGACTGAGCACTGTGTCCACTGGCACACTGCACAGTAAGCTCACAGCAGCACAACTGAGACAAAGACCAGCAGACACGTGAGCTACTTCCGAGATTTGTTCCCATCTACAAATGCTCGTAGCGAGGTCCATTTGTACCTGTGACAGTTGGTTACCTGAAAGTTTGTAAGTTGAGGACTTACTGTAATGCAGCAACAAAGAAGCCATCGGTGAGTCTGGAAGAGAAATCCTGGTGGAGACTGGAGTGGGAACCTCACTGGAAGAAGTTAAAGGAAGAACCTGAGAGAAAACAGACAGCAGAAGCAAACCCCCGAGAGGCTGTGATTGGGACAGATTAACTGGGCAGTAGCTGGAGAGAGGATGCGGGTAGAACTGGGAGTGCAACTCAATAGTACAGCATTTGTCCCACATCCACAAGGCCTGGAGTTTAAGCCAGCACTGAAAAAAATTAGGAAGGTGTTAAGAAAGATGAGATTTTGCCAAGTGTGCTGTTGTTGTAATCCCAGCACTAGGGAGTCTGTGAGGGAGGCTGAGGCAGGAGGAGCACCACAAGCTTGAGGTCAGCCTGAACTACAAAGCGAGATCCTGTCTGAGAGAAAGAAAGAGAGAAAGACAAAGTAGGTAAATTTTAAAAAATAACTTTGAGACTCTGTTTATAACATATGGAAAACATGAGACAAGAGAGAAGGGCCTGACACTCCACAGAAGGAAATCATGTTCTGCAGCTGCCCCAACACCAAGCAGTCAGCACTACCGCATGAGAATTCCTCTGGGTGGCTGGGAGATATTAGCTTTGGCTGCAGCAGGCTCTAGTCATGAAGGACTCTACCCTACAGTCTCTCTGTGTGACCCCTTCCCTCCGTACCCCTCCTCATTCAGGTCTGGGAAGGCCCCCCCACCCATGACCAAACAGAAAGGCTGACCCTGGGCACGCACGAGCCTGCCTGTTTTGCAGGTTATAAGCAACCTCCTTACACCTCAAGTTCAGCCCATGTGCTGTTCTTCCTTATGCTGCAGCATGAGTTTTAGCAGCCTCTTCTGGACAGCATACTCCTGCTTACCTGTGATTTCCACCTGCAGTGGAGCATCCTAAGATAGCGCACTCAGAGCTGCTAACACCGAAGGCAACTAGGGCGGAAAGCTTCCGGCAGCAGGGCTGGTGACACTGAAGGTGGCTCGCAGCCAAGCATGGTGGACAGCAATGCAGAACAGTGAGAAGCCACTATCTGTGGTGGCCAGAAGGATTCCTGAGACCTGCGTAGCTGCTGGCTCCAGGCATCATGCAGGGCTGGTAACACAGGAGGAGCTGCCCTCTGTCAATTCATGATTCTGTGTGAATTGAGCAAGAACCCTCGGCTGATTGGTGATACCTTGAAGCTGGAGCAGGGGCCCTTGGGCAGTAGAGATGTCATCATCAGGCTCAGCCCATGTTTTATTTCCATCTTACTTGTGGCTGAGAACCTGCACTAACTGGTGACAGGTTGTTTTTTTTTTTTTTTGTCTTTTTGAGACAGGGTCTCACTATGCCTCTCAGGCTGGCCTTGAGCTCACTTTGTAGCCCAGGGCAGTCCGGAACTCGCAACGATCCTCCTGCCTCAGCCTCCCGAGTGCTGGGATTACAGGCGTGCACCACCACACCCGGCCAACCAGTGACAGTTATGATAGGTGCTTTAGTGTCTTTGTGTAATCCACACATAGGTGTCCATTCTGGGTTGGGTTCAATTGATTTTTCTCTTCATTATGGGTCATATTTTTGCAAGAGTGGTAGTTCTCTTTTTTTGAGACAGGGTCTTGCTATATAGTTCAGGCTGGCCTTGAACTCACTAGGTAGCCCAGGCTGGTCTTGAACCTGTGATCCTCCTGTCTCTACCTCCTAAGCACCTGGATCACATGTGTGCACCACCATGCCTAGCTATGACTGGCAGTTTTTTTTAAGACAGAGTCTTGCTATGTAGTTCAGGCTGACCTTGAACTTGCTATGGAGCCCGAGCTGGCCTCAAAGTCTCAGCAATCCTCCTGCTTCAGGCTCCCAAGTGCTGGGATTACAGGCATGTGCCACCATGCCTGGCTTTGACTGGTCATTTTTTATTTGAGATTCAGGCTTTATGAATTTCATGTGTTAGGGTATTGGCTATTTGTGGTTGTTGTTTTGGAGGCGGGATCTGCACTGTAGTTCATGCTGGCCTTGAATTTCTGGCAATTCTCCTGCCTCAGCCTCCTCAGTGCTAGGATGACAGGTGTGCATCACCATGTTCAGCTACTGGCTATTTTTGGATTTCTATAAATATTGTTTTCGGGGGTACAGTTAAGTTACTTAGAAAGAGTTTGGTTCCTTCTAGTCTTGCTTTTAAGATTTGTTAGGGATAGGGTGTCGGAGTGTAGCTCAGTTCCTAGCACATGTACTTAGTATGTATGAGGCCCTGGGTTCAGTCTCCATGCCAAAACGCATTTGTTAGGTGATTAGGTGGGACTGAGTGGTGCTTAACTAGGGCTAAGGAATCCCCACCCTTCTGAGAACTCTAACTCCTGCTCTATAAATGATAAGGTCTCGCAGTCTGGGTAAGGGGGGCAGGTATTGCTCTGGCCTTATACGACTACTGGCTACTGTTTCCTGTCATTGTCAGCTCCTTCTTTCCTTGGCTTTGGTAGTTTCCTTCCACTGAGATAAGGGGTTGTGCTCTGCTGAGCACTTGAGGGGGCACTTTGCAAAGCTCCACAGTTCTCTTTGCCTAGTACTATGTCCTGAGCACTGGCCACCTTGGTGGCCCCAAACTCTCAGCTCTACTCTCAGCTCTGCTGTCAGTGGGGGAGTCCTGGGCTTTCCCTCCTGCAGTGCCTCCTAGGAGCTCTCCTACGGTAGCCATGGCGATTGTGGGCTTCCCCTCACTTACTTCTTTTTCTCAGGCATCACTGTCCTAATGTCCAACATCTTGAAATCCATGTCTGTTTGGTTGCTCGTTTTAGGCAGGAGGATAGATTTGATCCCTGCTACTCCATCTTGCCTGGAAAGGGAAATTGTATCCAAATTTTAAACATTTTTGTTTAAACCATGGAACTTCAGATTAAAGATATTCCATCTTGGGAGAAATCATCTCCATATACCTTATTTGCCAAGCCAGTCTTCTGTCCCTTCCTTCCTTCCTTCTTTCCTTCCTTCTTCCCTCCCTCCCTCCCTTCCTTCCTTCTTCTTTCCTTCCTTCTTTCAACCAAGTCTTCTATATAGTCCAGGCTGGCCTTGAACTTGAGATCTTCCTGCCTCAGCCTCTTAATGATGGTATTACAGGTGTTCACCACTGTTCCTGGCTGTAACTGTCTCATCTAACCCGCCAGCCAAACAATATTTTCCTTTCCTTCCCTTTGCTCACTCTTTCTTTCTTTCTTTCTTTCTTTCTTTCTTTCTTTCTTTCTTTCTTTCTTTTTTTCTTTTCTGTCTTTTTTGAGACAGGGTCTCGCTATGCAGTTCAGGCTGGCCTTGAGCTCACTTTGTAGCCCAGGCTGGTCTTGAACTCACAACAATTCTCCTGCCTCAGCCTCCCAAGTGCTGGGATTACAGGTGTGCGCCACTACACCTGGTAGTTCATTCTTTCTTTC